CGTTCCGACGGCCGTAGACCACCCGCAGCATGGTGGAGATGATGATTGCGCCGGCGTTGACGGCGACGATCGTGATCTTGGCGGGGATGTACCTGTTCAGATAAGTAAGGATATTAGATGTGATAGTTCAAGGATATGCATACCCTGGAGCATCGCGGGATTGAAATGTCTGCGGCCCGATGACGTTGGCGATGCTGAAACCGGCCGAGACGAGTGTACTTCCTGCTACCTATGTGGCAGTTCATGTTAGCTGCTATTGAATTGAAACTAGTATGGGTCTTTTACCTTCATGGTATACCCCTTGTAGTTCGCACCAGTCCACGCGAAAATCAAGGCTAGCGGTGCAACAGTCTATTCCAGTCAGTATACACCCTTCTTTTCACATCTGGAGCAACCTACCGTGTTCACAAGGTATATTCCCGCCAAACAACCCCCCTGATTCGACGACGGCAGAAAAGACATCAGACATGCTCCAAGCAAAGTAGGAATCAGGAGAACGTTAATCGCCAGCCAGCGCGAATATCCCCGCGCAATGGCCATCGTAGACGCCATAGTAGCAACGATGCTAACCACCCCAGAAGGCATATTAAGCAGCGCACTCTCCTTCGAGTCATATCCAAAGTCCTTGATCAAAATGGATGAGAACGTCGTGATAACCCCACTGGGAATAGTAATGAGAATAGTCAAAAGCACCAAGAGCGCAGTCTGGAGATCTGCGAATGCCTCGAGCAGCGATATCGCGCGAAAGACTTTCTCACCCACACCAGCCTGGTCTTGTCGGAGGCGCTCCTCCACGCGAACCTTCTCGGATGTGCTCAGGAAGCGCGCTTCAGATAGTGTTGCCGGTAGAATGAACAGGACAAGAAGTGCTACGAGGACGTTTACTGCTCCGATCACTACAAACATGATCCGCCAGCCGTGGAATGACATCGACGCCGGTGCATGCTGCGCCGCGAAAGATATTAATCCGCCGATGATCTGCCCGGTGCCGAGTCCGCAGTACCAGAGGCCATAGCGAGGGGTGGATTCGGCCCGGGTGTACCACATGCTTGTGTACATGGTTAGGGCGGGGGCTGTATGTGTAGTATTAGCACTGGGCATAGAAGATAGATAGTGTTGATCGCACCGATCACAGCTTCTAGTGTGCCAAGAAGCACTCGTAGAGACATCATGCCTGCAAAATTCTGGGCTGCGGCAGAGCAGCAGAGGAGGACTCCCCAGCAGAGGATGTTAAATCCGAGGACTTTGGTGATGGGGTATCGTTGGAGTAAGAACCCTTTCAATGATCAGTGATACGGACACGGTGAAGGAACGAATGGAACATACCCTGAGGGATCTCGGCCACGGCATAAGCAATGAAGAATCCCGTAGCCAGCCAGGAGAAGTCATTGCCCTTCATTCCAAGATCGTCTTGCATGCCCATGACATTAGCGTACTGTCACCGTCAGCATCGGCATCTGTGCAAATCTTTAGATGAAAATCGGGACATACATTCAAGGCCACCTTATCCAGAAACTGCAAAAAATACGTTAAGAACATAATCGGCAGTATGCGCCAATCGATCCGACGCAACAGTGCGGAATCATCGTGCAGATCGCCGAGGCCATAGTCGATAGTGGCCAGCTTTTCCTCTTTGGTATCAGACATGGTGTTTGTGCAGCAAGGATGGCATGTTCCATCGAAAGGCCGTCGAGAAGCGGCGGAATGGCATGATGGGCTGTCTTAAAGAGGCTGTCCCTGTACACAGTGAGGGTTACAATGTCCCCTATCACTGGCTGGGGCGATCGGTGCGATAAGCTGCACTACTGCTGCACCCGTCGCATAGATACGAGCCCCGTCGGATGCACGATAAGTGGATCGGATGTGTGTCCGAACAACATAGATTATAGGAAGGCGCCGGATAGGTATATAAACAAATATTCGAACACGAAGCTGAGATGCAGAGAAATCCAAAATCATATTAATTGTCGATTCGTCAAACCATACAGAATGCCCTCGCGCACCGACTCTCCCCTCGACATTGCCATCATCGGCGCCGGTCTAGGCGGCCTGAGCGCAGCCGTGGCTTTACGTCGCCAAGGCCATCGAATCACCGTCTACGAGAGATACGATTTTGCTGGCGAAGTGGGCGCTTCCTTGAGCGCAGCTTCCAATGGATCCCGGTTCCTAGAGCAATGGGGTGTCGATGTCAAGGCCGCGAAACCGGTGGTCTTGAAGAAACTTATTATGCATGATTGGGAGACTGGGGCGATACAGAACGAATATGGTTTGGGGGACTACAAAGCCAAGTTTGGAACGGTCAGTCTGGGGATTCAGTCTTCACTCTACAATTTGTCATTGACGTGGCTGATTCTCAGGAATACAACAACTTCCACCGCATTGACATCCACCAACAACTACTCAAGTCTGCTTTTGACGAGCCAGGCGAAGGCACCCCCTGCACATTGAAGGTCAATCACAAGGCCGTGTCGCTAGACGCAGAGGCCGGTCGCATTGTATTCGAGAATGGAGAGACGGCGTCGGCAGACCTTATCGTCGCCGCGGATGGTATCCGCGTAACTATTCCTTCCCCATTTACTAAATATTCAATAAGCTTTACACTTATATTAACATGAACAAAATACAGTCCCAAAGCCGACTTGAAATGGGAATCACCCCCGAGTTCACCATGTCGACCTCATGCTGCTATCGCTGCATTATCAGCGCCGATAAACTCCGCAGCCTCGGGCTAGACGACTATATTGATAACGAGGCGATCGAATACTGGGGTGGATTCGGAATCAACAAAATTGTCATGTCACCTTGCAGTAACGGCGAAGTCGTAAGCTGTTACTGCTTCTATCCGGCAGAGTACAACAATTTGCGTGGCGATGGCTGGAATATTGCGGCCACTCCGGAGCAGTTGGTCGATACTTTCCCGGGACTGGATGAACGCATGAAGCTGTTGATGATGAATGCGGAGGATATTAAGATGTGGCGCTGTATGATCCCTTACCCTGTGTTTGATTCACTCTGCTGATACTCGATAGTGTACCGTCACCAACCATACCCCTACTGGGCCAAAGGCAAAGTATGCCTGCTTGGTGATGCCGCCCACCCCATGATGCCCGATCAGTCGCAGGGTTCGTGTATGGCCTTTGAGGACGCCGGCGCGTTGGGATTCATTTTCCACCGCACGTTCCGGGAAGAGTATAGTGTCGCAGAGGGTCTACAGCTGTACGAGCGGCTGCGGAAACCACGAGCCACGAAAGTCCAAGAGGCGAGTTTTCGCGCGCGTGAAGACCTCAGCGAGCGCATTGGGTGGAGCTCGTCGACGGATCGGCCTGGGAAGTTGACTATTGAGGAGGTGTGTGGGTATAATATGCGAACGCATTTGGAAGAGCTGAAGGCCCGATACACAGTAGATCTGGTGTTTAGGTGGCTCTGTGTATATAAGTAGTCTCTTATGAGGAGTTGATCCGCATGGTTATGCTGTTTACGCTGCTATGCGAAGTATAGAATTCTCTGGCAGAAGGTTTTCGTGGAAATATACTGACGCGGAATCACGTATCTCAATCATAAATATAGCGCAGGGCATAATATCATTAAAGCTCCTATTCGATATCTTTATTGTGTTACGAGACCAGAATTGCACTTTATTTATCTATTGGGGAACAATTACCAACAAACATAAATGACCATCAATGACGCAGGTACTTGTGAAGGCCTACAGTGGGATGTCAGAAGTTTGCGTTACCCCACATTCTACACTAACTGCTTTCACTTCCGCCTTCCTAACTAGGTTAGAATACAGCTATTCTGCCTACCAAAACAACACGTACAGAGCCCTGAATCTTTAAGCAAGCAAGCCATACAAAGATGCCACCACGCAAAGAACTGACCCCAGAGATCCGTGCTAGACTCTGTGAGTTAAAAGCAATTGGATGGACCTTTACTATGATTCATAAACGCTATCCTCATATTCCTTATTCTACTATACAGACTACAATCAAGCGCGAGAGTACTCGAAAGCAGCAACACTCTGCACCTCGCTCCGGACGACCCAAAAAGATTACTCCTGAGGAACAGCAGCAATTATTGGACTTAGTCAAGCAAGATCAGCATATAAAAATGTGTGAACTCTCTACTGCTGTACAGAGCGGTCCTTCAATTAGAACATTTCAGCGTCTATTCCATACTCTATACATGCAGGGAAATAATGTGAGCGGCCAGAAACCACTTCTCAACACGCAGAAAAGAGATTGAGATGGGCTCAACAATACAGTCGAGCGCGGAGCAGGAATTCGCAAAATTATACGACAAATCTATACCTTTCGATCACCAAAGCAACATACTTATTGAGTGTGATATTCATGCCGTACGATGTGGAAAGGGTGTTAAGCAGATGTTTTGGGCGGAACTGTGATTGTGGCGCGTAAGGATAAGAAAGATCTCACCCTGGAGCATTATGAGGTGATTTGTATGTATTGTGATATGATCCTGGATTACTTTGGTGAGGGGGAGGCTCCGACGAGGTTGTATAACCGACAGGCATTTGAGAATTGATTTGCGAGTTACAAGCGGCAGGAGTCCGCGAATGGACGCAGGGAGTGGGATGATATGCCGCCTTTGTATTAGGTTGGTTCATTAATGGGGGTAGCTTCGGTTGGAGTGAAAGATGTTATGAATGACTTGATATCCACGAAATTGGGCCAAATAGATATTGTAATGCTTAATGTGTATGCTGATGATGAACAGTTACATTCATGCTTCTTATTGAATGATTATGGCAAAAGTTTGGACTTTCGCTATTGTTTTTATGACTACTTGTTGCCCAGTCGTCGAGAACTACATCACGGCAACACACACTTGCCTGGAGAAATAATTCCTAACAGGCTCGACTGAAACAACAAGAACCAATTGCCGACAGACTGAAACTACACTAGTACTTGGCAATGCAAAATTCAACGACTACATACACGCTACGCTACGCCACAGAAACAGTACATACTATAAGCCTACTAGACAAACACCACCCCAGGAAACGAACTATACCTTATCCTCGCCCAATTCCCATCCCCGCCTTCATCAGCCCACACCGTCTCCAGCAACCGTCTCGCATGCGAAATATGTCCAAACCCCAACGTACTTTCCATCACCATCAACCGCTCCTTAACAACCATTCTTCTCTCCATACTATCCCTACAACTAGCGCCAGCAATGACCAATGGAAACAGCAGACTACCTTCGACGGGACTACCATAAGGAATCGCCAGCACGGCTGTCAAAATGTGAGAGAGAGCATTCTCCACGTCTGCATGGCGTGGATCATATCCGTCCACAATCTGATGTAGTCGTAATCGGATCGCCCATTCGAAGGCTGTTGTTGCTCTGTTCGCGTCGCTGTTTACCAGAGCAGTGCTCGTCGCATCGTAATCCACTCGCCAGGTATCGAGCTGTGCGCGTACGTGCGCAGCGGCTGTTCGGAATCCGATCTCGGAGAGGTCGTCGACGCGTCGGCTGCGGTGGGCGGCGAGGAGGTTGACCCGGCCGAGGTATTCTAGTAGGGGTGGGGGGATTCCGGAGATGGAGTTATCTCCGAGGGGTACTGGGAGGGAAGACGAGGATGTTGATGAGGTGAGATCAGTGAGTCGCTCGCCTGCGCGTAATAATGGCGGTTTGCAGCGGGATATGGTGGACATGGCGTCGAGATAGTGGAAGAGTTGGAGACAGAAGCTTCCTTCTGGGGTTGATGACAGGCGGTGCAGATCGGTGGCAGCTGCTGCAGTGCTAAGAAGGTTCCCTGCCGCTTTGAGATGCCATTTCCAGACGCGAGAGGTGCCTTCGAATAGCTCTGTGAGGCAGAGCAGGAGAATGGTGGCGCAGGCCTCGAGGAATGATTGGCTGTTTTGGTTCGGTCGACGGAGTAAGTTGCTCACTTGTGCTAAGGCTGTTATGGTTAGTAGACTTTTATGATTTTATAGAGATTTGTCGAGCATGTACCTTTTCCTTGACGCGCTAGGGCACGGTCCCAAATTTGGGGATAGATGCGCCGCCAGTGGCAGCCGCTAAGGCCCAGTATGACGCTAGTTAGCGTCTCCGATGCGGCGGCCATGGGTAGCAGAGTTGCTAGAAATGGGTTGGTCGTGGACTCAGTAGTTGTGGAACGTGATAGTGCTCGTGACACGATGTGTACATAGTGATTGAATAGACTACGATCGTCGTCATTGTGGAGATGGGGATTGAATGCGCCATCTGGAGACTGAATGGGTCCGAGGATCATCTCCACATCAATCCAGAGGGGCGAAAATGGAGATAGCAGATCACCGCTGACGGATGATAACAGATTCTCGGAAGGGGAGATCGGATCGATCTCTGAGACTGGATCCGAAACGGAAGATAAGTTGGGTTCGTGAGCAGATTCGGAAGAGGGAGACGTAGGCGACGGCTGCGGAGAGGCGAGGGCTGGTGACGAAGACTTCTCCCTTGGATTGTTCCAGTGGCATGGTAAGTTTAAACGACAACAGTCGCTACATCGAGGTCGGCTTTCATCACACTTCTTCTTGCTATTGTCTGTCAGCTACTGCAATGTAGTGATTGTCGAGGATCTCATGGGTATCCTTTACCGCGCCTTGCATGAGGTACATCCACCGCGCGATCGGGAAGCCCTAGGTCGGCGATAAGCTAGCGACGGGACTTCAGATGCAGGTCTTCCGGGCTTTTGAGGCTCGCAGATGTGGCCCAGACCTAGTTGGTCAGCATATATTAGCACCAAAGAAACTAGAAGGGCAAAGCATACGTGCGCAACGAGAGCAGGGCGATGCGCCATCACAGCGTTGTTTCTATCGGAAGTCAGCATGGTGATCAATTCTCGGAGAGGTCAAGACTTACAATCACTGCGCACCGAGCGCATACGCGACCAGGAGCAGCCATGATACCGAAGCATCTTGGAGGAGAGAACAGAAGCGACGGAGAGGAGTAGGTCGAAGGAGTTATCAGCGCAAAGCCGACGGAGAGGGGTTCGATAAGCGGAAAAGGCCGACGATTGGATGGCGCATGGATACGATATCAGTGCACTCGGGAGTCGTGGCCACTGATAAAGGTTGGGATCCGCATGCGGGGGGCAGTAGCGCAACTCTATATCCTCGGCTACATGGCCGGCAGTCAACCCGCTAGTCTAGTTGCTGTTTCTCCCAGAGAGGCCAGTTTGTTCTATCCGTCGCTAGAAAGCTACAATGCGGGGAAGGAGAAGCCACCCTAAACACCAGTATTCGATGATTTTTGAGATAATAGGCGAGGGTCAGAACAGACCGAGATTTTCATTAGAAGCGGATGTAGGAAGGTAGAAAACTTTCAAATAAAGGAGTGCTTTTGTTTCCCGCGTTATCACTCCCGACTAACAGCATGATTGGGTAGGGCAGGGCTGGCGGTCATCCAACTGCGTATGTACCTGGCCTTAAGTCGATACTTGGAGGTTGTGTTCTGCAAATCTTGATAGTGCATTCAAACTGGCCTGAAGGATCTACTTCCCCCGGAACTAACTGCTCATCCTATCCCCATACAATGGAGTGACATGGGAGGTGAAATGTCTCTTGAAAAAACCATATTCCCATTAATGCCTTGAACCAGCTTGGGATTCTCATCCAAAGTATAGCCCTTCATATACCCTTCCACCCTCCCATCCTCTCATCCCACATATCGCGCGGATTTTGCAACTGGTTAGCACTCAGATCATTATCAAAGATGGGGCAAATGCTCGTTTATTACAAAAAGGAAATCGGTCCGGACACCACTCAAAATATTCTATCTATATCAGCTGTTTTCCTTCTCCCATTACTTGTTTCCTGCCACTTCACTCATGGTGTTTGACTTATTGACCAGCGATAAGAAGTACACAAGCCAGTACGCTGTCAAGATATAGTACACTTTATACGTTCTCTCATCCATACCCACCGACGTCGCAAAAACACAACGAACACCAACAACAAACGCACCAAGAAGATGGAACATTCCTGTAAGCACCAAGCCAACACTATGCAAGTCGAAAGGCCCAAGGCACTGTATCCATCCCCACAGGACCACAACCAACCCGCTAGCAGCAATCAGGCCAGCCGTGATGCTCCTCAGCATCTTCATAGAAGAAGCACTTGAACAAAGCACAGGGAGTGTTTTGCGCTTGATCTTCCGATCGCCATCCATATCATGAAACTCCTGGATATGGATAGTTCCAAGAACCCATAGTGAAAGAATCACGTCCACCTTTGGCTGTGCTGATAGTTGTGGGTAGGTTTTGCAGACAACACTGTTCAAAAGACGAAATGAAAGAAACGTCCAAAGGGCTGGGAAAGTGTTACGGGATGCCCAGTGATCAAATCTGGGCCACACGTAGCACATGTAGATCAAGGCTTCAGACAAGAGGAACATCACCAAAGCTTCGCCGCCAAGAAGGGTGTAGCAGATAGCAGGAGAGATAGTCCAACTGATAAACCATCTCCATTTGGCTCCTATTACAGTGAGACGGCCGGCTGGATGGGCCTTTTAGGCTTGTTGATTCGGTCTTCATCAACCGAGGTAAGCTGGTTAACGATGTCCCAGCAGTATTGGTGGCTCACTGAGATACAAAAGATCTTGGCGAACACAGTGAATACTGAAAGTTTTGGCGGTGGTAGTAGCCGAATGCAAGCGGCTGATAAGTATAGAAGAACTCCTGCTCCGAGGTTGGATTTTAGAAGATGATATGTTATCACAGCCTCGTTTCCGAGTAGGTGTATTAGGGCTGATGTCTGGAATTTGATTCTACAAGATCACTGTTCAGCAAATGGACTTGACCACACGAATGAGACATGTTCTTACGCTTTCATTGGTACAGGTCATATAGTTGCGTTAGGACTAATTGTTAGCAAAAGTATATACTATGTAATGTACTTGCGAAATATGCTGCTCTGTTATGTTAGACTGTCATTATGCCGCGCAGGTTTATATAGCCCAACGAGTGACTTGGGTATCAGCCATGTCGTTATCTGAGCACGATTAGCCAATTTCAAGCTATTCGACAACCCCAATAATAATCACAATGGAAGCATTAGAAAGCTTGTCCGAAGTTTGTTCATCAAGAGCTTACGAAGAATGTCTCGGTAAGCGGGACGCCTAAAATAACCTCATTCGGTGCCACTGCTTATTTCTGCGAAATTTATTGCCGATCGTAGCTTAGCGCTAACTGCCTTACATATGATCAGCTTACTCTGTATCTATATCTGAGAGTCAATATGTACATGAATTTTGTCCTGCTTCTGTCAGTCTGCGCACTGTTCCCTTCGAAGGATTCCGGGTGATCCGATAATCAGCCTTTCGCCGAATAGTATGTCAGCTATGCTTCCCTCTTCGCCGAATTCGCCAGTGATTGATGAAGCTTTTTATAGTTGCCTGTCTGTTTGGTTTTGGCTTTCACGCTTGCTGTCAATATTTTTGCATACGATGACGTCGCATGGCGTTTTGCCGCCTTGTGTGCTGATAAGCATGGATACCTGCCTCTTCCTCTGTGGTAACCCCAACTAATATCGCTGCCCGGTGTCTATGCCATGTATCTAGAGTGATTTGAGCTGTTTATTGAACAAGTCTGCAGGACCTGGGTGGTTCAGCCAGTCCGCTATTTCCCCACAAGCATGGTGAATAAAGTGGCCCGCTGTCTATCTGACGTCCTTCAGGAACTACTACCCTCAATCAAGCAGTCTTACTGCATATAACTTCTACGTGCTCTGATAAAGCATGAGCCACTAGCAAAATTACCGCATAAATCTTGTATTTTGACTTTTATCATCTCTTGGTATACACTCCGGTGCTCACGGCGTGATATCCTTTCTTACCCACCTTAGCAGTTAGATCACTCCTCCACTGCTCGCCACGCGCCAACCTCTCCAACGTTTTTCCAAAGGTATATTCCGGATGCCACCCTAGCTCTCTCACAGACTTGCTGGAATCATACACCCGATCGATCCTCGCAAGATGCTTCCACCCTTTCTGCTTGAAAATAGCGTCGACTTCCGGGAAGGCTTTCGCAACCACCTCAGCAGGATTTCGATTTAACGCATCGAGCGTGCTTTCATCATTATTGAAAGGCGGTGGAGCGCTTATGATATACTTTCCCCATCGGATATCCTTGGCCTTTTTCATTGAGCAGATTGATGCACTGACAATATCTTCAATGTCGCATCTGCGGTAGGCTAGTTCCAGAACCTTCAAGTTCTCATCACTCATGGCCGTACGACGGTCTTCATCATCGTCTTCCTCTGGAAAAAAGCGACTTGTTCGCAAAACTAGAACGGGCATTCCGCTTTCCTTTTGTACCAGCGCGCACATATCCTCGGCTGCGACTTTTGTTACGCCATAGATATTCTTTGGCTGGGGTACGACAGACTCATCGATCCAAGCGGCGGGGAAGCCGGGCTTCGGATTTAGAGCCGTACCAAAGGCGCTGGTTGTACTAAAGAAAACGAAACTCTCAATCCTGTCCTTGAACTTGGAAGATTCTTCAAGAAGGGTCAGAGTGCCCACAACGTTGGTTGAAATGAATTCCTCCTTGGTATGGCTGCATATGTGCGGCTTATGCAATGTCGCCGTATGGAGCACATGCTTGATGGGGTTTTCGCGGAATATGGATGCAATGAAAGTGCGATCGCAGACTGACCCCACGACTGTCGTGGTTGAAGAGGAGAGGATATCGATCCCCAGAGGTTTGTAGCCCATCGAAGGCAGGCAAAGCATTAGAGCCGTGCCCAGATGACCAGCTGAGCCAGTGACGAGAACGTCGTACTCTGAGGACATCTCGCAAGTGCCGGTACCTAACAAATATTCTGGAATGATACAGTTTCCGTGGGCGGGTGGCTTACGCCAGATGGGGGCTCAAAATACTTCGTAGGGATGCTTAGTATTTCCAGAGAAGGATCTGTTTTGAGGCCCGAATCGCCCGAGATTAGTTCTATCAAACCTTGTTTATATGCGGGTGTCTTTTAAGACAATAAAACATGTGAGTCATTCGAAAGCTCTGTGTCGGCATGTCCCGATCGTTGATAGGCTGTCGTTAGACTTTCGCACGGGCTATTTAGTAAGACCCCTTGGCATCGGGAATCCACGTGAAAGAGCTTCGCATTTTGGACGTCGTTTCTGTTCTCTAGGGAGCTACCAACATATACTGTAAACATCTTTCAATTCCTACAGCTACGTCTCCCTTGCTCTAAACGAAGATCTGATGACAGGACTTTCAGACCGGGACCGATGTGTAGCAGTAGAATACTATGGTCATATCAATACATCACAGTTCAAAACTCTCAGTATCGAGTGGCCTATAAGAAATCAATGAAAGAGACAAAGATTTGGCGACGGCAGGATATATGATACTCCCTTCAACGCCATCCGACTTAGCCACTAATGTGTTATTGATATTATTGTTTTCACGTGCCTAGCATCTCTTCCTAGAAAAACAGTTGGATAGGGGCTCTATGATAAATCATAATCAGTATTAGACAGACTGCGGTGTTCTATATTCTTGTTATGGCAGTATAAATGGCGGCAGCGAACCTATAGCTTTTGGCCTATATAAGATTCTGTGTTGATCAATATTATTTCAGAGACTTGACTTTTTTAGGTGCTATGTATATCTTGTGACACTTCAGATTATATTAGCTAACCGAAAGAGATAAAGTTCAGTTTCTACCAGTATGTAAGACAAGTTTAAACCTTATTAGTAAAATCAAAGATTTGCTAGGCAATTTTGGCGGTTTTCTTGTATTTCTTCCTTTTTTATATGCAGCATGAATAATGATAATCAGAGGAAATTGATACATTTTATCAATTCAAGAGCTATCTTACTAAATCTTTAGCATTGCAGTTTGCTAATAGGGTAAAATATTTGACAATTGTTTTGGTATTCCGAGTACGCATTGTAGAATCATGTAAATGGATACCGCAAGAAATATTGATTTAAATAGATAGAGTACCCTCATGCCGAGCCCCACTGGCGAGCGGATCTCTACAGATAATTACGAAATGGAACAACTGCATTTTGCTAGCTCTCGCCATTCAGTAGCGCCTGGTGCAACATGTTCGGGCCAAACTCAATGAGAATCCCGGTCTAATTGACAAAAAACGTGGCAGACTGCAACCGCTTTTGGACTACGCTCTTCGCCTAAGGAGAAAGACATCGTTGGCTGTCCCCTATTACTCTTTGAAGACATAAGCCTGAGTACTGCCGGTGCGAGATTCATTAGATCGTTCTTTCCGCAGGGGCAGTCCAAGGCTATTTCGTGGAAGATGCGGGAGATAAGGTACTGATTTGCGTCGATCATAGTGCGACTGGATTGGTTTTCGGGATGAGTATGGACAAACGCATCCACATCCATATTCTCGATCTCACGGGTCCAGAGAGCTTGACATTCGTTTGCTTTGCAAGGTAGAGACGCGCTTGTCCTGATTATTCGACGAGGGTCCACGGCGGAAACAGTTTGATTGGTATTGCTCAGAGCAAAAATTTCCGTATCCTTCCAAAGAAGGTGCCCACAAGTAATCTAGATATAGGAATCAACGGGAAATTCACATGGTAAGTAGAAGAAATATGAGAGAATCAGTAGGACATAAAAGCAAAAATACATACAACAGAAGGGATTCGCTGGTGGTCACCCACCCAACTACTAACCTCCCGGCGTGTGGCTTGAGTACGGCTGAGCGGACGGGAAGCCCTATTTTCCACACCCTGTGGTCGTATGTACTTATTATTAATGGCTAACAGATTATGTTCTACTCTTCTTTCAAGCTGCTAATGCTTACTGGCATCCTCGGGTAATCGTCTGCCTACAGTGTCCCCGCTTCAACCCCGACTGAAATAATCCTATCTCGGCTAGACCGTTGCGCACCCTTAATGGCACACTTTCGGAATTGAGCGGTTACATCATTACAGATTTCCGAAGTTTAATACGCAATTAAAGTTGCACTGAGGTATTTCCATGAATACTGAATTATTGAGGCATAACTTAGCGAGCTGACGATGAACCACGGTCCGATCCGTGCCTTAACACCGTTATGTCCGACATCCCCAGGATAATCACATCGGATCGCGCACAAGCTGACATGCCCCCTGGACCCACTTGACAGCTTGGCTAAATGACAATTTTCCCCCAAGTTCGATAGTAACTAATTCATAGGTGATGCCCCAAAGTCTCTTGAAAGTTTAACCCTGTCAGCAAGAGGATGGACTGGTTTCTTCGGACATTGATGCATAAGCCTGGTGTCAGCACCATATTCCAGAAAGCACTTGAAGCTTTAATGCCATTGTGCAAGGCGGCAGCACATCGCTATGCAAACAGCTAGGGGTTGAGTATGAATGTCATCAGGGTGCTTCGACTGTGGCAGGCTATGATGATCCCACAATTGATGCCCCATCCGGGACTTGGTCGGACTTAGTGAGAGTCTTTGATCCACTGGTTGATGTCATCCATGATGAATTTGCCATATCGCCGAGCAGGAGAACCTACAAATACTGCGCGGTATTCATCCCCGCCTATCTATCATCAGCTTAACAACATACACGATCAACTCCACTTATCAATTCCCAATCCAACACCATAATCATGTCTTCCAAATACGCTGCAGCCCACCAATACCCTCAAGGACCCGGTGACGCCCGACCAACCGCCCTCCAAATCATCAAAGACCAAAACCTCGAAGATAAGCTCTCCGACAAATCCATCCTAATCACCGGCTGCTCCTCCGGACTAGGTGTCGAGACCGCGCGCGCACTCCACACCACCGGTGCAACCCTTTACCTAACCGTGCGCGATATCAAAAAGGCGGAGACAAACCTCGGCGACCTAGCCCAAAGCCCTCGAGTCCGCTTTCTTCACTTGGAACTAAACTCCCTCGACTCCGTACGCGCCTGTGCAGAAGACTTCAAGTCTAAGAGCAAGAAACTCAACATCCTCATCGAGAATGCCGGCGTCATGGCGTGCCCGGAAGGCCGAACAGCAGACGGCTTCGAGACTCAAATCGGCAGCAATCACCTGGCGCACTTCCTTCTCTTTAACCTTCTGAAACCTACCCTTCTGGCTTCCTCAACGCCCGAATTCAACTCCCGCGTTGTGATTCTCTCCTCCGTCGCTCACAGAATGTCAAGCGTCCACCTCGACAATATCAACCTCGAGGGCGAATACGAGCCATGGAAATCATACGGCCAGAGCAAGACAGCGGGGATTTGGGCCGCTAATGAGATTGAGAGACGATATGGTGCTCAGGGTCTTCACGCTTTTAGTGTGCATCCGGGTGGCATCGATACGGATCTCCAGCGCCATACTTCGCAAGAGCAGCAGACAGCTTGGAGTCAAGATGAAACACTGATGAAGATTTTCAAGAGTCCGCAACAGGGTGCTGCCACGACTGTGCTGGCGGCTGTCTCCAAGGAACTTGAGGGCCAGGGAGGGAAGTACTTGGAGGACTGTCAGATTTCTGAGCCATATGACCCGAGTAATGGCCTCTGGGGTCCTGGGTATGCTTCTTGGGCGTATGATGTGGACGGAGAGAGGAAGTTCTGGAAGTTGAGCTTGGAGTTGGTCGGCCTGAAGGATGAGTAAGTTTATCAGTAGTTTACACTCCTTCCTGTGGAACGAGAGGCATGATATAATATTTCTGTATATAGCTAGTCAGTCTTTGGGATAAGAATGGAAGCATGACTTTATTATTCGCCATTACTAGACCAGTCAACGTACCGTTATCATAATGCAAAACTGTACGCTAGTTCATCGAAAAGGTTAGAGCACGAGAGATAATATAGGATATGAACATGTCAATCGTGATCGCATAATACAGCAAGCTACGCATGGTTAAAAGCAGCCGTTCTTGAGGCTAACGTCTCTATTCCCACATGGCTATGTGCTAGTGCATAACCTGAACAAGCACAAAGTGGCTCTCATCATTGAGTACAGCGCGGATAGGCCGGAATTTGTGCAGGTGGAGCAGACGCTGGGATTCTATGAATCATGGAGTATGCATCAAACATCACGATTTTGGGTCTTTACTTCTTCAGTGTGCGATTTTTAGATTGTTTTTGGATATGTTCTGCGTGGCACAAAGTTGATTGAATCTGAATTGATTATACAAAGCCATAGCAGTAGTTCATCACTCATACGTACATAACGTCGCATCATAACACATAACAAAATGGGATGGTATACGAATAACGTCTCTCAGCCAAGTAATACAATGATGCAACTCTTATAAACAACAAGAGACATCATTTCCTGAGCGTGATCATGAAATCCAATGGAGCCAATCATAGAAGTGTACTACCGGCTTCCAAGTGCTTCGGAGCTCCACGCATATCTCCTAACAGGCGGGGCAATCAAGAATTACACTTCAGTTGTGTGAGGGCTGAACGTCTCGTTTCCACCGCTCACCTGCGGAATATGAGAAGCCCCTGCTTTGGATGAAGTCGAGCCGCGGCGATCGTACGGATCGATGTCGGGAAACACGTATTTGGAGCTCTTCCAGGGCGGTACTTTCATAACGTACATTGTGTCGATCTCCTCCAGTGTACGGCCACGGCCTTCAATGACAGCCACGTAAACCAGGCCCGCCGCAAGGAAGAGGCAGCCGGCAAAGACGTAGCCGAGCCGGAAGTCAATGGCACTCGTGATGAAGGGGGTAAAAAAGGCGAGAAGGAAGTTCCAGAGCCAGTTGGATGCTGTGGCGAGCGACATGGCGCGGGCACGGAATTCGGAGGGATACAGCTCTGCGATAATGGTCCACACCATGGGACCCCATGTAGATGCGAAACCTTTGTAGAGGTTAGCAACTGGGACTAACTGGACTAGAGTGGGGAAATGCCCTTGATGACATACCAAGAATAAACAGGCAGGCGAAGACAACCATGACCACACCTGCTGTGTGGGTCCGTTCGGGGTTTTCGTGGTCGAGGGAGAAGTGGCCCACTGAGGCGAAAACCATAAAGCAGACAAACATCCACAATGCTCCTGTTATCAGGGATCGTCGACGACCATAATTCTCGATCAAATACAGACCTAGGAATGTCGTTCCAAAATTCACGCCGCCTAAAATCATTTGTGTAACGTAGGAATTTGAAATACCGGCGCCTCGGAAGATCGTAGTTCCGTAGTAGAAGAAATAATTCGCACCAGTTAACTGTTGCAGTGCTTGAAGGGCGACTCCAACTGCGACGCGATATGTCATGCGGGGTGCATGGAATAGATGGGACCAGGTTATCTGTCCGCGTTCCTTTTCCTCCACGAATTTCTGCCGAATTTCGTCGATCTCGAGCTTCAGCATCCGGTGATTTTCAGGAATCCCATACATTTTTGAGAGGGTACGGGCTGCTTTAGCCTCCTTTCCATGACGGTAGTCATATCGGGCACTTTCTGGGAATAGTGCAATTCCGAAGCCCAGGATGATGGCCCAAATGTAAGTGATGCCCATGGGAATACGCCAGGATCCAGTGTCATTCCGGGCTTCTGTTCCGAAGTTGATACAATTGGCGACGAAAATTCCAAGTGTGATGAAAAGCTGATAGGTGCTGTTGACGTTAGCTTCCATATTATCATAATACAACAAGTTCGTAGGCATACCTAACAAGTGATCCACGAATGTGCCTGGGGCCAGTTTCTGCTTGATACATGGGAACAAGCAATGATAGAGCACCAACGCCGAGACCAGCTACCCAACGACCCATGGCGACCTGGTACCACTTGCCGAGTGGAGAAGAGATTTGTATGGTGATACCAACACATACCATGGCACTCCAACCGCTGATGGACCATTTCCGGCCAATGCGATCTGCGATCGGAGCCGCAATAAGAGCGCCGATTAAGGTACCGATTGATAGCTGCGCTTATCAGCAAGATTGAACTTGGGTCAAGCTGTCCATGCGTGTCTTACCAGCGCGACGATCAGACCCGAACGTGCATTGGAGAAATAGTATGTTCCGTCGGCATGCTGTTGTCCGTACCTTTGGAGAAAGTTCGGCATCTCCAAGAAGCCTGAAATTTGGCCAGTGTCGTAGCCAAAAAGAAAACCACCCATTGACACGAAAATACCCATTAAGAAAGAGCGCCACGTGAGGAGAGGGATAGGTGTATCCACTGTCCCCTCTTCAAATTTCTGGCCATTGGGGCCGGTGGCTTGTGCCTCTTGCTGCAACACATCCCCATTGAACTCGTCTTGCGGCCTCTTACGAGGCATCTTGACCTTTGGCAATCTCATATTTGTCAGCTAAAGTAGGTGTCGAAATTTCAGACCGTAATGGCACAGACTCCCTGCAGTACTCAGCTGTGAGAGTCAGGCATGAAGCTCCAAATATATAGACCAAGGGAGGATCGTCAGCAATTCCGCATGATGGGTCCGTGATGTCATCAATTAGACTGGACTCGCTTGCTTCTTTGTCTGGTTGTCTGACAGGCGAAAAGGAACTCGTCTCCAATACTTTGTTCGGACAAGGGTACCCCAGCATGAGTGTTCAACTGCTCACGTGGTGGTCCTGAACTCTGGCCCATGGGACCCCGCATCAGCCACTGATGTTCTGACATGGGCCGAGATTGTAACTCTGGGGTTCAGGGAATTCGGTCATACCGAATATGTCATGCTGCATGCATTTTGATGGGGAAGACTGATCTCTGGTTGGGATCCGGGGAAAGTCAATTCTTATGTCATCACTCAGAGGGGAAACTACCCCGGCACATATGACAGGTTGACTTGCAACAATCCAATGGCAGCTGTGTGAATGCCACCTGGGTTCCATGGCTCAAAATCGGTCCGCCAAAGCTCGGGATCTGGGGTCTTGGCCTACGTCTGAAGCCTTCCCCGCGCGTTTCGGTTCATTTTGATGCTCGTCATATGTCCTTTGACCGACGAGCCATCGGTAACATGCTTTTATGCACCCGTACCTCTTGCGGCATTTTGAATGGCATGATCGGTATTTGGGTTGAACAGCGTTGCACTGTTCACTGCAAGGGCGACCTCACAGCCGGAGTCCCCGCCGGGTTTGATTATGATTTGCGCCTCATCTTAGGAGGGGGGTGTAGGGGTTTGTATGTCATCTTCGGCTGTGTACTTATGGTGGATGATTGTCATCAGTGGGATACTGACACGGGGTCAGCAACTCGGGTGCTTGTGCTCAGGGCGGTTGATTGCTCCGCGATGCCATAATATCTGCACGCCGTGGCGCCTACTATCATCTTAGCTGAAGGTTGGTCGGAATCCGACCGACAGAAGTAAATCAGAAGTCAAGGTACTGTAGTATTAGCTCTGACAATTCTTATTCCTATAAACAGATTTAATATCATGACATCTGGACTGCCATTATTCCCCAAGAAGGTTGCCAGGAGCTGGTGACTGAAATGAGCTGGTGAATTTAAAACGCGGCGAGACATCACCTGATTGGTAGGAAGTAGCAATACTCGGGCTCCTACACGGGCACTTTCCGTTTGCAGTCACCGTAAAGGGAGGCTCGTATATTGCTTATAACACGGATTAACAGCCACAAATTGTATTGTAGCATGAATTAAGTGTACTGGCACTGCGGAAAATCGCTAATATAAGTACACACTCCTAAAGCAAATAGGATCTGCTGCTAGAGGCAACAGAATCGGACGGTAAAGTGGCATGGGCAGGTGAGAGAGTGAAAACACTACACCGGGAGATGTAAACAACGGATTAATAGAATATAAACAGGGCATGATCATAGTATCTCGTAGTGAAGAGATTGACCAATGAGGGGATAAATGAAGTGCGAAATCCATGCGGAGGTAACATCCGGTCTATAGGGGCTATGGAATGCCGCCGCAATATATAAAGGGTGAATCAAGCGGGTTCTCGGTAGTAAGTGTCTAATGAACATCAACTGATCACAGGTACAACTCAGTAAGTAGGGAACTCCAAGAGGTCAAGATGACAAAATTATGCTGATAACTAGTATTTTTGTGCACGTACTTTTAAGTCAAGCCAGAGACCATTGGAAGGAACATAAGAGGTTATTTTGAAATACAGATCATATTCTGAGGGGGAGAATTTCTGACAATTGGTTTATGTAGTCAAAACATTTACCGCTCTTCAACAAGGAACGGGGCTGTGGTTTAGTGGTATAATATTCCCTTAGCATGGGAGAGGTCCGGGGTTCGATTCCCCGCAGCTCCAACCTTTTTTTCCCTCCCCTCTATATTGACTCACACCCTTGTTGCGCGCCCTTCCGTCCGGTCGGATATGTCCACCTCTTTATTTTTATCTATTTATATTTATCACACAGAATTGTGCGGCCATTGACACCTTCGCCCCTAAGATGGTATTCTTTCTTACGGCATAGAACGACGGGCTTAGTCGAAGTTGTGTCCTCTCAATTCCAACGACAAGCTTCCGACCGGGGTACCAGAACCCTGAGCGCCGTTTTACCATGGGAATATACCAATTACCCGAGTCCATGGAAGTATCAAGCACACTCTTTGGTACGCTAACAAAGTAAGGATAAGCTTTCCTGGATGCTACTAACCACGTCTCACCTGCTTGTAGTAAAGATAGACGATAGCTGGTGCTGCCAACAGCGGATTCTTTCATGCTGAGTTCCCGCTCCTATGGATCCTGCCGTGGACAGCTCGCTCATACCCTCTGTTACTCTGGGATTATCTCCGCTTGGATAGTAAGTAGGTAGCTAGAGTGACACTCGCACTAATTAGCTGGATATCTTATCCCACATAACTCCCGTGAAAATCAAACAGGGTTTGCCGGGGTAACCTACAACCAGTTATATGGTCGATCGTATGAAAACTAGTCGGTATATTGCAATACTGCCTGCAATCATCGAGAGAACATCTTACAATTGGAAAAAAGCTATGCATACAATGCGCGTTAGGTTTGTTGATTGTGTCAACTAGTGAGACTAATATCTATGTATGTTCTCCCAGAAAGGTTCCGCCCAGGAAACATTGAGTGGTGTGATTTTATGCAGTCACCTCATCGAACACATAGAATCGGAGAAGATATCCTCAAACCGTCGGTTGACTTATTCCTCAACACCATGAAATAAGCGCAGCATGCCTTTGGCAGCGTGCGCTCCAAGAGCATCTAGACTCCCCATTCCCATCATTTCGAGCACACTGATATCGAACCCGAAAACCGACTTCCACCACTGTCTCAACTCAATAGCAACGAGGGAATCCAACCCGAGATCCGACAGAGAGGATGATGTCTGCAACTCTTCCTCTGGCTTCAACAAGAAATCGCACACCTTCCTTCCGATCTCTCGAGCAAGGAACTGAGCTGACTCGGACTGACCCAGTAAATCAGCGTCCCCTTTCGCCTTAGTGATGAAGGACTGCAGATCGTCGCTGGAGAACCCAGCTGCTGTAGAGTTGGAATCTTCATTGTTATGAAAGGCTGCCATGCGAACATCGCCCTTCCAGAGAGAACGTTCGCCTGGATTATTCAAGCACATGTTGGACCGGACACCAAGATAGAAGTACCCCGATGTCGAATTCACGGCTTCAAGAAGCTCCTGCTCGGAGATAGCGCTCTCTGAGCCACCAGTATGGGCAAACCGTTGCATGACCCCCTCATTCTCTGCTACATATCCCACTTCTTCAACGGCACCTATCTGAATGGCGCAGGCCGGAAGCCCCAGGTTGAAGCGGTATTGAGCAAAGGCGTCCATGAAGGTCTTGGCACCTGCATAGTTAGTCTGGCCAGGCTGTCCAAAAATACCAGACAGGGAGCTGAACATAACGAAGAAGTCAAGGTCTGCGTTAATAGACCTGGAGGCCTGGTGAAGGTTCCACGTTCCCTTAACCTTGGGATCAACAGCAGTATCCCACTCGCTCTTCATAATGCGCGGGAAACTCTGATCACGGAGAACCATAGACATCTGAAAGATGGCCTTAAGGTGTCCATGAGCCTGTTTCATGGCTTTGGTGACACCATCCAAGTTCGAAACGGTTCCTTGGACAAAGTCTCCGCGACACCCCATGCTGGAAAGCTCTTGAGAAAAACCCCAAGTGCGCGTCGGTCGTTCCTGCGCTACGAGAAAGGTAAATGAGGTGACGAGCCCCTCGTTCGACCATCCATGTAGAAATAGAGCGACCCAAGCCTTCCACGCCACCAACAAGTAAATAAGTACCAGAGCTATAAAACTGAGTGACCTTTTGGTGCACCACGTTCTCGCTCAGAGCGACCTCGCCAGCTGCATTGCGCATTGACACGACAATTTTGCCCAGATGGACACCCTGCTGCATGTATCGAAATGCGTCCAGAATGTGACTTGAATCAAAGGTCCTGATGGGTCTAATGGGGCGTATGTGACCGCTTTTAAGTAGTTTGACGGGTTCTTGAAGCAGCCTGCACGAGAGTTAATCCATTCTTATACTTAACAGTGTTCAATAGCTGGTGCGGCGATACGTTTATCTGGCCATCAGGCAAATGCGACTTTTGTCCCATTAGCACCTGCAGAATGCCTGAATAGACTGCTTTACTTATCTGGAAAAGGCCAAAATAAAAGGAAATTGATATAACGATTGAGAAACAACACGAGAAACATTGCAAGACTAGACACGCTTATGAACCTAATTGATTTATCTTCAAAAGCAAGCCAGGCATTCTAAGAAGTTTTTTTTCCACCGAACCCAACTGAGCCTTCTATGATGTAGAACAGAAAGGCATAATATAAGGTCAAATTATTTTGAATAGTGCAAAAAAAGCCAATGAGTTGGACATCAAACGCGCGATGCATACAATAGAATCTATGAGGTTTGTCAATGCACCCTATAGTAACCGATGCATGATTCCTCCACAGTTCGTACGTATTGGCAAAACCCATCACTTGCTGGATTAGTTTAGTTTCTGTTGAAACGCCCTAATTATTATTCGTCAGCTGTGAGATTTTATTGAATGTTAATAGGACTTACCTGTCCGCAAGTCATACCCAGCTCGAACCCATGCATCTTCACCTCCATAAAGACGAACAAGAACGTCAACGAGCTGCTTTGTCACTCTTGGAACTTCGTCAGCCCTTGGAAGGTATTCTGGGTTCTGAGCGTAGAATTTGAGGAGAAAGTTAATATCAAAATAGTCAGTCTTCCTCTTGTCCTCCGTAGATCGACCAGTAATTGAGCCACATTTTGCATTGAGAAGCAAAGCTGGCTTCAAAATCTTAATCCCTTCGACTAGAATCACCTCCGTGTTGTGATCGAAGGGCTCCTTGAACAAGAGCGGTGGTGTGAGAATCTCAATTTGCATCTGGTCTTCGTGCCTTGTAAGTTGTGTGGTTCGTTCTTGCTTCAACCTCGAAGTCGGGAGAGGCGCGCAACAACTGTCTTGCGTTTGAGGTTTTGCCTTGAGGAACCACAAAATCTATATCCAGGGTTGTGCGGGTAGAACCAAGAATCACACATTCGCTGCCGCCAACAAGAGCGTAAGTTTCATATTGAGTGAGTGCATTTGCAACTGCAAGTGCAGCAGCGCGTATTTCTGCCGGAGAATGAAGATCTGAAGAGATCATGGTATTCACTTGAAGAAGTGAGACCCGTCAGTAGCTGATCTATGATATTAACTAAATCACAGGTTATATAATCTCAGTAAGAACAATAAAGCAATTATTTAGGCTCCTTCCAATATAGCGATGCCACCTAGACCATATAGAAAGCTGTTGAGCGACGGAATGCGATCACCACACACTGTGGGATCTTGATGGCAGCTTAGTCAAACTAAAAGTAAAAATGAAGAAAGACACATGTAGTATATTTGAGGTCGCTGCTGTGATATTTCTGGGACAATTGTGCTAGTCATAACCTTGCACTGCTGCCTGAAATACACAAGGCTGCAGGTAAGGTGATTGTGACAGTGCCTTCTGCTCCAGCTCCTAGCTACTCATCTCACATGATGAGATTAATTGGTCCGCCCAGCACTGGAGAAGCTACTATTGATATGTATTCAATTTAGTATTTGATCTATTGCTGGATCTTCAATACTCTCAATTGAGAACTTGTACTGAAAATGCTACGATACCATCTCCTAGAGTAGGAGTACCAGTTGTTTGAACCATAAACTAGACAGCGCCCAACCTTGAGAAACCGAAGAGAACCCATTGACAAAGCACTAAACATTCAAGGTCCCTTGAGGCCAATGGATGCCCGAAGCTGGAGTTGGTGAATGAGAGGGAATCAAGGGATGACATTGGAGCGCCCGCGAAGACCGACGGCGGCAGAGACGGATTACAGTGTTATCCCTTAAGCAGCACGATGGTAAAGCTCTATTTATAGCTTCCGCATACCAGGCTACCGTTACTACGATTAAGCGCTGAAGGGGAACAATAAGAGAGCGGGGTACAACCAAGGGGACTGATGCGGGATTGAACGACGCAAGCAGGGCAAGTCGTGGTCCTTTGGGAGTGCAAGTGTTGAGGAACGAGAAGCGATGATGCCAGGCTAGGCTACTGTAAGTAAGAATTAAACAAATGAGCGGGGTGATGCTCTATACTAGATGATTTATGCTTGGTTGGGTGGCGATCCAGTCAAGGCCGGATCAACTTACGGCCGAAGCCTTCTATTGTGCTGGCGCCTATTCCACAAAGTTCATGATTGGATAGCTGTTCCAAGTGCTCGACAAAGCAGCAGCTATTAGTGCCTCAAGTCTTAGTTTGAATCAGCAGCAATTTTAGTCTTTTGTCTTCACAATCTTCATGAAAGATATGGAGTTCAGGCTCAATTATCATGTTGGCACGGGAGAAGGCGGGCGCGATGCAAGATACAATGTTTGCCAAGTGCTTATTGACAATCGTGTCCCGCACGCCATATGGTTTGAAGATGCTCTTGTCCACTTCGATGTTCCTACTGCTGTTTTTGACCTTTATATCCTCGTTGAGGGTATCGATGCGGCTGCCAATATTCTTGCTAAGGCTGGGTGGTATTTCGATGTGCAAGCACCACATCTCATTGGGAATGCGGAGGTGGATTTGTTGGACTTTCCTCAACAGCGATTAATATCCCCGGACGGCGAGACGAGAACGGTTCTCCTTCCCGCGACAGACTGGAAGTTTCCTCTAACGTCCAACACCCGAGTGGAATTTGTGCCTTTAAAAGTCATGCCGTCGCTCAAAGTGCCATTTCCGCCATTGGCAGGTTTCTTGGATGCGCTAATCGATAGCTGGCTCGACTGTCCCAGCAATGATGCGATGCTATTAATTGTTCTGGCTTGCCAGATCTCCTATCTCTACACGCATGCTCCGGCTTTAAAACAGAAGTCTTTCGCCGAAGAAATGAAATACGAGCATCGCCAGTTTCACTTCGACGTCTTAGCAGGAATGGAGACTGGGACGTTGCAATTTCGACAGCACCAGCGTGGTATTCGGGATGCTTTATTACGCGGCCAGTATACATTGCGGGATTGCTCCGCTTCCCGTGACAATAAAGATTTGTTCGACCCCTTTGGAGGGATCACATTTGAATCAGCTGGGAAGGAGGAGAATGATTAGGATTCTCATAAGTCACACATATATTGACTCCTAAGGGGGTCTGTTGTTATTAAGCATGTATCAATGACCATATTTCAACGTTTAAATCATATTGATATCCCTGGTTTCCCTGAGGTTCGAGATATATCAGACAAAAATCGTGCGTCCATATTGAACAGAAGAGGCTATAGCGTCATACCATTACGGACTAGTTGCTTCCATACGAATGGTAGTTGCACATAGACGAATGAATGAGTAGCCTTCTATCTGAGAGGGATAATGCGACCGACATCACCTGCATTGATTGGGACGCCATCATCGCGATCTCACCCCGACCTGGCTGTAGGGACGCAACATCTCAAGCATAACTGCCTAGCTGGGGTATCGATACCCTGGGACTGTCGTGAGAGAGGATATAACGGGAAGCTCCACCATGTTGTGCGGACATGATGCATTTGGTGATATGTCAAGCAAAATGGTATGTCAGCTTAGATGGTACATACGCCTCAAACTTGATCTGATTACCCCAAGACGTGCCCGGCTACTGTGGAATAAGGAGTCCAGACCCTTCTTCTCCGAGCACAGAGTTATGCTAGCGCCTCACTCCCGAGGAGCCTTATGAATTGGGCGCTGCCTGATTATGGGCAAAACAGCTGAAGCTGATGAAAAAGCTGATGAAGCTTCTGACATAATAACTCTAATCGACGAAAATAAGGATGCGACCTATCATGGTCTGTGTCACAGTTTGTCAGTCTTTCCTCGTTGTCGGACATTAACCGGTGGACGCATTATGAAATTTCTGCGTCTGGACATCCTGCGGTATAACGCTCTGCTCCTGGAGGTCAGCCTAACGTTACATAAGCGCTTCTCAGAATATCGTCGAGGACAAGCTTGTCAGTAGCGTCGACTTAGTTGACAATAAAACCCGTTTTCACAACAAGCCGATGACACTACCACTACCTGCTCATTTCACCATTTCGGTGTCAGCAATGCTACCCGAAAGTTGCACAGTCCACCATGCAGCACCGTTATCATCTTTGTGCTGCCATGAGCGTACACCCCGGAACAAGTCGGAGGCAGCCTGGCAAAAAATACACAGATGCCTAAGGCTATGTCACATTTGCAGGAAGCAATCGAATATAAATTCGTGCTTCTCCCCAACCATATCTCTATCATCACCAGCAACAACATCCAGCCAAGGAGCAAATAACACATTCCAATATATCCCAAAAGCATTCATAATCTTGTCAATAAAATGAAGGCCCAAATCCTGGCTGTTTTGAGCGTTCTATTCGCTCTTGCTCCCGCCGTACCCACTACGTCCAACGTAAGAAGATCCAGCTCCAGCAAACACTGACTCCAAGCCTACTAACCCATCAAAGAGCACTCAGAATGTCACCGACATCATCAACAACATCCCCCAGTCGCCCAATGGAGTCCTGTTCCTCGGCAATGACGGCGTCCTGAGATCCGTCGACGCAGCCAATCGGGTTGTCTCCTACCAGCAGTTGAGTCCGCAGCAAATCAGCCAGTACATCCAAAACCTGCCACAGCGGGATGTGGCTCGTCTTCAAAGCGGGTTTCAAGGCGTTGACGGCCGCGAAGTCACGGACCTTGACCAGCTGCTCTACCCTGATTCTGACCAACTACCATCAAGGGCGCCCAGCAGCGTGTCCCAGTCACTTCCCACGGGTACTGGAATGCAAAGCCAGGAAATGTGCAGAACGGTCGACTGTACCTCGCAGAACACCTGTCGCCAGAATGGATGCAATAGCTGTCTTCAGGCATACCAGATGTCCAATGGCTACTGCCACTAGTTGAGGTTTCAGACCGTGGTACGGAGTGTTTCACTTGCTCACGCGTCGTGAAAGATCCTGTTTCGCTCGTTTGTTTGGTTTTTACTGCGGGCTTGTAGTGCCTCTTGTCAATGTTCGTCTGGGGTTGGCCAATACCCGGGTGATGGCAGTCAGCCTGCGCAAAAATTGTGTTTTGATTCTTTTGTGTCTAGTCTGTCCTTAATTTAGCTTATCGAAACAGGAATATATGCAACTAAAACAGAGCCTGTCCAGAGTGAACGACGGAATTTCTGTAGAAATTATAAGTGCTGGATGCATGATGCAACCGCAGATATGATCAACGCTTGAGACTTGTGTCAAAATCGAAGAACTTTGTGGAACGTAACTCGAAAGAGAAAGAAACGGATAATCATGGGTACAGTAAGAAAGACCTACACTGTCTCGTCATCTATTTCCAAAAAAGAGGCATGTCTTGCATTGTCGTGTCTGACGATTAGACCACGGACGCATATGTATACACAGTACGGTGTGATGTCATCGAGCTTTCGGCGAATCTTCACCACGACTCCATAAATAGAAGTACCGGGGTCTGCACAGCCTTTCCATGCAATTCGTAACCAAAGTCTCCACCGAGTCTATTTGCGATAGACTTAGAGCCGAGGTAGTGCCGAATCTCGGCTTGCCGGCATGGTGGGGTTAGCGGCTATATACTCATCCGGCTCAACATCATCATGTTTGGGAACCTCCAGTCTCCGCTGCTGCCTGATCTTGGATACAAATTGCGCTTCGTTGGCACATTGTGATAAGATAATTCACATGTTAATTTATCAGAGCGTCTAGTATAGACTGGTAACGTTCCCTCAGTCTTCACTGTCACCGCGCCACTAACACACGACGCATAGTCCCTACGCCGAACATCTCAACCCCGCACAACCAGCAATCATGCCGCCACGTCTCCCTGAAGGAGGCAAAACCCTCGTCTACTTCACTGTAGATGGCCACGATGTCAAGCTTGACTACTACCTGCCACCCAATGCGAGCGGGAACCTCCCCGCCATCATCTACTACCACGGTGGCGGCATGACCGCCGGCTCCCGCCGGGGCATGGGATTCCCCCACTGGCTATACAGTACGTCCTCCCACCTAATACCCCAGATACCAAACCAGCCAAACAGAATGTCTAACACAGCAAACAGACCACTGCCAACAAAAGAACTACATCTTCATCTCCGCCGACTACCGTCTCTGCCACCCCACCACAGCGCTCGACCAGATTGAAGACGCGAAGGCCATGTTCCGCTTCTTAGCAGGAGACTTCCAGAACTCCCTCCCAGAAGGCACAACCCTCGACACCACCCGCATCGCCGTAACCGGCTTCTCAGCAGGCGGATACTCCGCCCGCGCTGCCTGCATCTACGCCACGCCCAAGCCCGCCGCCATGCTAACCGGCTTCGGCAGCGCCGGCGACTGGCTCCTCGATCACTGGACGACTGGCCGTCCTCCCACTTCCATTGCCAGCATGGTGAACTTGGACGAAGTTCCCAAGCTACTTGCCGATAAGACCGTCGTCAGCGATGACATGCCCGAAGACGGGGGAATGATGACGAACCGGTTTGCGCTGACGGTGCTGTGGGAATTGGATGGGACGTTCCTGGATGGATGTCTAGGACGGCCTGGGCTAGGCGCGGAATTGAATAAGTTGGAGTATGCGCAGCGCGCGGCTGCTATTCCGGAGGACTTGAAGCCGGCGTTTTTGCAGTTGCATGTGACTGAGGAGCATCCGCCTGCGGTGTTTGTGCATGGGACGGCGGACGATGTTGTCCCCGATAAAGAGAGTATTAATCATCATGAGCAGTTGAAGAAGTTGGGTGTTAAGACGGAACTTTTGCTTGTTGAGGGGGGTGCGCATGGACTGGTGGATTTCAGTCAGGGATTTCCGCCCAAGCCGGCTAAGGGGTCTGTGGAAGCGTATAATCGGGGGCTGGAGTTTATTGATGAGGTTTTTGGTCGAGTTTAGAGTTGCAGAGGTAGCAATGTGGCTCGTGAGGGCTACATGGATATAAATTATATGGTTCATATGTATGGCGTAGCGACACATTCACTCCTAGAGACATCCTAAAACGTTGGAAATGCGATCGTGTGTCGCATTCAGTGCGGGGTGCAGGTGGAGAACTGTGCAGGCTGAGGTGGAGAAGTGGTAAGCTTCCTGCAGCATCTCAGCCTTACTAGGGATATTGCGCCCTCCTGCAGTCTCCAAGAAAATGGTACAGATATAAGAAATTGGACGCTTGAATCGCCATCAAACCACCGTCTATGTTCGAACCGCTACCATAAGATCTCCAAACAACAACCAAGGACTATATACCCGGAATCTCCCATGCATATCACCACCCCCTACTGCACACCACCCACCATCTACATAGAACCCTTTTAAATCATCCACTCAGCCCACCAGCCAGTCTACCCCACATCCTACACACATATACATACCTAGGTAGTATGGCACCATGCCAAGCTCAATTCATCCCATCACCCCCATACTCTACCCTCCGATGAAGGAGGTAGTTCTCCTCCTTCAACCGATCAATTTCCCGCTCATACTCCTCCAAAGAATCCGCACTAGCGGATTCCAACTCCTCAATAATCTTAAACACGCGCCACAACCGCAAGACCACGACCAAGGAACCCAGTTCCTCAACCAACCCTCTCATGGCCACATCAATGGCGAAAGCAACAATGATCACCGCTGAATCGAAGATATGGAACTTGGATGAGAAGTAACTGCGATGGTATCGTTAGCTAGCTGCAATGCCTCATACCCCGAGAAACCCAACTACTCTAGCTCTGTGAAGTGACGAAATGGTAGGGAAAAGTATGGAAAAAGACCTACCTCATCCCAAAACTCCCCACAGCAACCACCAATTCAAGCATAAACAGACACGAAAACACCAACCCCGTAATACTCAGCGCCTCCTGAGCATCTTCCCACCCAGAAGGCACATGCTTGTACTTCTCCAGTTCGCAGACGTGAATTTCAATCAAGAAATCAGCAAAAACACAGGCAACATCTACAGAGACCAGGAAGAGGACGAGGTAGTGACCAAATCGGGAGGAGAGGTAGTTGCGGGCCGACCGGCGGCAGCGTGCAATGAGGGGCTCGGTGGACTGGGTGTTTTCATCGTCGTCGGGGAGATAGATTTGCCCTGGAGGGAGTGGTTGTGCTTCGGAGGCGAGGAGAGGGTCGCTTGGGGATCGCATGGTCTTTGTTTTTGTGGGGGTATTATCTTGTTGAAGATGGGTGAGGTTGAGAGGATAAAGAGAAGAATGAGAATGTTGTGATGGGGAGAGAGGTAGCTTGAACGGGTGGAGCGAACGGGTGGGCCGGGTAGATGAACTATCCAGACGGTCGCGTGGTGAGATGTTATTTGCTGCTCGGTTGGCTGGAGGAAAGCTTATCGTGCCCAAGATGCAGCGTGGTGCAGTTCTTGGCGTTACTTTTCAGGTGGTGAGTTTGGATGCCTGGACAGGTAGTAGAGTCCTTTGGTTTGATTTGAGACTACATTTTTAGAATTCTCCTTCCCCTTTCTGTTTGTCAAAATGCTCGAGAACTTGTGGTCAATCGACTCGATCAGACCCATATTTTCTTTTGTGAATGTAGAGTGACATGCTTGCTTTTGCTGAAATCTTTACTTTTTCGTACTTTTCTTTTTCCTTACGGGGTTTTCTCACCGTAGCCATCTACCATTTTGATGCCTTGTGTGCCTTATCTCCTAAAGCAGAAAGCTTCAGTCAGGTGGGGAAAAACAAACCCTTTCAATCAATTTCTATCAAGCTTGTCTGACATTTACTATCCATACCCTTCAGACTACCTGAAAAGTGAAGATTGAATACATCATGCATTATCCTCAATTCCCATTCTCCCTCGCCTTCAACTCCCCACGCACCTTAGGCAGCACATACCGCCCATAATCAATCGCATCGTTGAGATTATCATACCCACGAATCGAGATCAATTCCGCACCCAAATCTACATAATCCAAAATCGAATCCGAGATAGTCTGCAGCGATCCGACCAAAGCTGTGGAAGCTCCGCGCGCATTCGTCGCCGTGACAGTGGGATACCAGAGCGCGCGGTCCTGGACCTCCCCACGCGCCGCGATATCCAACAGTCGCTGGGACCCAACATTCTGCGGCGGCGGAGCATTGGGTGGAGCCTTGCCCTGTCCGTTCGCGCGATGCTCCTTCAGCTTATCGAGCGTCTGATACGCCTTGGCCCAGGCCAGCTCATCCGTCTCGGCAATAATAGGACGGAAAGTCACCCAGATACGGGGGCGATCGTTTGGTGCACGGCCAGCGCGCTCAGCCTCGGCATAAATCCGATCGATCTGTTCCTTGGTTTCCTTGAGCGGTTCGCCCCAGAGACCGAAGATGTCGGCTAGTGAGCCGCCTACGCGATAGGCTTCATCGGAGGAGCCACCCACCGAGACGGGGATGGTCCCATTGGGGTTGGCAGGACGGACACGGTTGCTGAATTGCTTGAAGGTGTAGTATTCGCTCTCCCAGTCGAACGGCTCATCGGATTCCCAGGCGCGGCGGAGAATGCGGATGTATTCTTCTAGTCGGGCGTAGCGTTGGGACTTGGTGAGGAAGTCACCTTCTTTAGCTTGCTCGGCATCGCTGCCGCCGGCGATAAGGTGGACTACGGCGCGTCCTCGACTGAGCTGGTCTAGGGTAGCGAGGGCTTTGGCGGCGACGGTCGGGTAGAGGGTGTTGGGGCGGAGGGCGATGATGATCTTGAGGTTCTTGGTCACCGACGCAATGGTGGCTCCGACGGTAAAGGGGTCGAAATAAGACGAATCGTATGGCACGAGGGTATAGTTGAAGCCATAATCGTCTAGGGATCGCGCATATCGGACGAGGTAGTCGGGGTCGATAGAGGCGTTGGGGATAGGCGCGACCTCAGTCGAGGCGTTGGGGAAGGTAAGGCTGATGAATTCAGTAGGCATGGTGAAAGATGATCTATACTCTATGCAATGACACATGGCAGCACTGATCAGGATGAGCATAGCATTTATAATCTTCGGAGGGGATGTACTTCCTAACCTGAACCCCGCAGGGATGCGCTGCGGTGCACTGAGATGACGCGAGACACTAGGCGATCACGCCTTACATGGCCGATAACGGTCGGCAATTTCACACATCCGAATGGACAGATGGGGTTGTAGAAGTCGTCATTCTGGGATGGCATTATGCAACGCAGGATAGATGATTGACACCATTTGGCAGGCTCTTCTGACTGGACGTGCTGTGAGGGATCGGGCCATCGGCGCGCACATACATCCCCTATCGAAAGTCTAAGCTCGACAATCAAATGTTTATTAAGCCACACCACTAAGCGTTCTTGGCTGGTTCTATCTGATCTCGGAAATACCGGACGCTGTGTTATGTTTTACTGATTATAAATAATCCCTCGATGTTGATGCGTGAGTAATGCTTACAATTTTCACCATCAGCAGGTGCTGTGCAGGATAGTGGCCAATCACGCAATCATCATAGGGAAAGAGTATACATCTTTGTTTACTCGAGGTGACTATCTACGTCCCTTACCGGGATTTACGCTTGTGGATCATATCTGTTCGAGGTCATGGCCGTATGAATAGCTCAGCTGCACCGGGTATGAAGCATACATCATCGATCGGAAGCCAGAGGATATTAAGGCTTCTATGCAGATGCAATGGTGATTGGTTACTACTAAAGGTGAGGTGTCGTATATATGAGTTTCTATAGCAGCTTAGCCACACTGATGTTAGAAACTGAGTTAATATTGAGTCTAAGTGAAAAAAAAAAAAAAAAAAAAAAAAAAAAAAAAAAAAAAAAAAGAAGAGAAAGAAAGAAAGAAAGAAAAGGAAAAGATATCGAAATCGATATCAAAATCAAAAACCGAAGACAATAACTTCCTCAGCACCACATATGGGAAGACCGTCCTTACAATGTGACTGCATCTAGACCCAATATAGACGATTCTTACGGGTAGTCTCTGTTTGATAGTTTTGTTCAGTGAAATTTGTTGTCCTGACTCAATCAAAGTTTCCCGACGCACAATCTCATCTTCCCTTCAAATACTCGCATTTCTTCCGTAGATTAGTTCTCCTCTAATTTGATACATAGAAGTTCCGGTAAACATCATGCCATCGGATAGCAACACTGGAGCTTCTACCTCTCACGAACATGATGGAAATGGCCGTCGAAGCGGTCGCAGTAGTGACCGTGACCGTGGCGGACGCGGTGGCTGGAGGCCCAGAAGAGTATGTGTTATATCTTATCAAAATGAAAATCATACATTCCAGTCTTATATCAGTATGCTAACAAGGCTTGAGTGCAGTGCCGGTTCTGTGGCCGCAGGGGCCATTTGATCGCGAACTGCTACTTATACCGCGGGATAGAAATACTGGTATGTTTCATCCATATTACCTTTTACTATAATTCTGTGGAGTTTACCAAGCTCACTTCTTACAAGGAGCCAGACGCGTTGCGGTTAGCTAAATAGGAAAGGAAAACATATAGTACAAGAAATTAACTTGTACGATTAGATCGAATGGCGACAGAGACTTCAGCGCCGCCACTACCGTGTTAGTACTCTGCATTTCGATACATTGAATAGCACTAGACTGTTTATTGTTACGGCAGCACCGCCAGCAGTATCAGGGCCAGGGTCAGCATTACCAAGACCACCGTCGTCAAGATCACCACAACCACAACCAGCAGCATCAACACCACCAGCAGCAAGCCCAACAGCAGCAAGCCCAACAGCAGCAAGCCCAACAGCAGCAAGCCCAACAGCAGCAAGCCCAACAGCAGCAAGCCCAACAGCAAGCGCAGGAGCATTCAGAACTGCAAGAACAGCAGGAACAACAGCAGGAACAGAAAGGACAGTAGAAAAGGACATCCAGGGATATGTGTACTCGATGCAACGGCCATAGTGCTATTGTATACCTATCAAAGATGACATGTGCGTACGGATAACATATCACTTCTTCTCAATGGTCCCATTTCGAAACTATACTTAGAACACTCCTCCACATACAAGGGTCGCAATTTCCAGGGCACGACTCAACGACGATAAAAGAACATAAAGAAAAATAAGCAAGGTCCGTTATCGAAGTCGTCTGGAAATGAAAGATGATGGGAGAGCGTCAAATTGACCAGACGAGAGCATAAGAATATGCAGACAATCTACCACATTGCTAGATTCGACCTATGAACAGGACTGTGCAGTAGTTAATTCCGGTCATATCTGATTCTCTTCCTGAGGCGGACGCCACAGGCAGGTAGGGAGCAGTAATTGTCTGTAGCATCAAGATAGTGGATGGAACAGCTAGTACCTTATATCGGGACCGAGATCGGCTAGAAAACATGAATATGAATGGATTCAAATTGCAATACACAAGCATGATGGATCATAGGGCGAGATCGTTATCGAGACACCTTCCTAACCATTATTTCTTCTGGTTATTGTTAGTGGTGGTGGTGGATAGTGCGACTGATGGTGGAGATTGAGTATTCTTAGGGAAGTACCATAAATCTACACTATTAAGGCTGTTTCTTTTCTGTGACAGCTTTGACAGGTGTAAGTGGGATCTGGGGAAGTCGGTCAGGGGGGTATGTTCAGTAGAGACGTGAGGGGTGTTGCGCTGGTCCCGAAATAGCAATGATCGCCTGCGTGCGGGGAACACATCCCTCCGCATGTTTGTTTGTTCTTTCTTTCTTCCTACCACAAAATCTTCGTTGGTAGTCAATTTTCCGGGATTTAGGAAGAACATCAACTGATATTGTGACATAACAAGGGGCATATCATTACTTAACATGTTCAAAGGTGGTGAAGGTTGAAGATAAGTTGGGATGGTCCTGCTTATCGCTCTCGGATCTCGGCCTATCTCCATCTGCAAGGGCGCACGGCCTGAACATTCATCGCCAAGGAGGGGCGCCATCCCCTCTTTTAAAACCCCATTCCCACGCTCTTTCTTCACCAATATACACTCTCATCACTCACCCTCCCGCTACTCACCTCCCCTCTGAAACGAAAATCATGTATACTCCCCGAATCGGCGACCGGCTCTCGAGCCTGGATACCCCCTCAATGATCGTCGATCTCGACTTGATGGAATCCAACATCCAGAAACTCTTCTCCGCCCTCCTCCCCACAGGACTGAACATTCGTCCGCACCTCAAAACCACCAAGTGTGCTGCCCTAGCAAAGAGGCTCGTCGCCGCGGGTGCCAAAGGCTGCTGCGTTGCTAAGGTCTCAGAAGCCGAGGCCATCACAGCCGCCGGGTTCGATGACATTCTGATTACATGCGAGATTATCGGCGCTCCGAAAGTCCAGCGACTCGTTGAATTGGTGAAGAAACACCCGGGGCGACTGCGTACCGTGGTTGATAGTGAAGTCGGGGCTACGGCCATTAATGAGGCATTGGAGCGGGAAGGAATAACGACGCCCTTGGCGGTGCTGATTGATTTGGATGTGGGGCTGCACCGTACGGGCGTGGCTGATGCGAAGGCGGCATTGGCCCTGGCGAGACATCTGGCTGGGCTGAAGCATTTGAGGTTGATCGGAGTGCAGGGGTATGAGGGACATGTGCAGCATATGCATAGTTATGAGGAAAGACGACAGGAATGTTTGGCATCAATGAAGATATTGACGGAAACGGCGGAGGCGCTGCGCAAGGAAGGCTTCCAGATCGATGTGGTTACTGGAGGTGGGACGGGAACGGTGGAGTTCTGTGCCTCTGTGCCCGGGGTGACGGAGTTGCAGCCGGGGTCGTTCATATTTATGGACACAGATTACCGGAATGCGATTGGAAGGGGGTATTCGAACAGTTTGACGTTACTGTCGACGGTTGTCAGTCGGCAAGGGGAAAGACAGGTTACGATTGATGCTGGATTGAAGTCGTTGACTACGGATAGTGGGTTGGCAGAGTGCAAGGATTCCAGATATACTCATCAGAATTTGGGTGATGAGCATGGTGCGCTGAGTTGGGACGAGGGGACTCCGGATCTGAGAGTTGGGGATAGGGTGGAGATGGTCCCGAGTCACATTGATCCGACCATCAATTTGCATGACTTCTATTATGCTCATCGGGGTGGAGTCATTGAGGAGATCTGGTCCGTGGATGCTAGAGGGAAGGTTCAATAGATAGCGTTCTTGGTATAGATTCTACTACCGACCGAATACAATTCTTCAATTGAGTACCTCTGCATGTCGCATCGTAATTCTATCGAGTACACTTCCAGGTTGAGATTAAGAGTAAGTATGAATGAATCGGGGTTGTATGTGCCGATTGCGTTAAAAAGCACAGACTTGCTACCGTAGTTGGCCCGCCACAGAGTCTTTCATTTAGTGCAGCATAGTGGAATTTAATCTGGCAGTAGAACAGATCACTAACTCAAAGAGAGCCGCTTTTTCGTAGAGAAAACCATGGATCTCGCAATAATGTGCCTGCATGCCAAGAACAATACATGCAACCGATTCAGAAGTGGATATCCGTCAGGCTCACGTTGAATCAGAGAAAGATATCAATAGTAGAGCTCGAGGTGTGTCTTTAGAGTATAGTTAAGATACTGGCTGATAATTTAACATTCCTTTTAGGACATGCTTTTGATCAATGCGGAGAATGGGAAATACAATGAAGGTATTTCCTTGGAATCGAAGTGGGTCTTATCTTTCTTCCAGCTGTTGCAATACCATCCATTTCAGCCCCCACTACTAAAAGTGGATTTGGTAACCAGAACATGAACCATTACCAATGTTATCTCTTCCCCAGTAGATAACTCTTATCATTCATTACCAGTATATGCAATCAAGCTGACTTGCTCGGGGCATAGAGTGACTGACTCATACGGTTCTCATTCTTCCACTTTAATCCATGTCTTCTGCGGACATGTGAGACTTCGGCAGCCACCGCCCTGATATTCCTTGATTTGACGGAGTTGACCGATAGCTGGTGACTACTACCGATGCAAGTAGGAGCTCAGACCCTTGATCAACCACTGGCCTTTGCAATGGATCTTGTGGGGAAGACCATCGAGACCCTGAACGGTCCTGCGGATGGGGCTCTCACTTCCCGTCTCCCGTTTTCCGCCATGTAGATCCTTCCTCCCCGTGAGAATTAGTTAACAAAAATTAAGTCGTCTCCTCCAGGCACACGGGGAGCGGCGACCGCCGACAGCCTCAGATCTAACAGTTAAGTGCTTGATTATGCTTGATTACTCGATTCTTCACGGAAGGCGTGCGGGGTGGACCAGAGGGCACAGTCAGATGTCAGATCCTGGCCCACTGCTTCCGCTGTGGATCATGCCGAAACAGCCAGGGCGTCCACTAGACATGGGTCGGTGGAGAGCTGCACCGAGTGCCCTCATGATCAGACTTCAGGGCTCTTCTGGACCAATGTTAAAATGTTTTTTGGGGATACACTTCGCGTGCAGGCCGCAGACACTTCATACCAGCACTTTTGACTTGTTTTGAAAGACACCAACACACACCTTTCACGGTTTTGTTGATTATGCATTCATGCCGAGTTGAAGGATTCGATCGTCGGGCCTGACCCCGAGAACGGCCTAGCAGGGTTACATTGTGTGTCTAGCCTCATATAAACTGGCGGACGGCATGAAGACTAACAGAGCGGCCCCCATTCATTCCTTCGCATCCTTCAGTCTTTCCGCTGATGGCTCTCACCCAGCCCATTCAAGTCATCTCCGACTCTCAACTAAATGCATTGAACAACAAGTGGCGAGCCAAATTCGTGTGCGAAACCCAATTCCTGTTTGCAAGTTCACGCTATTCCTAGGACGTTGGTCTCCGCGTCCGTCATCATAGTAGGATACGAATGAGCATCCTTCCTCACAGCTGAGCGGCTCAACAATGATGCCAAAGGATTATTCGCACGGTCGTATTCGAAACAGTGGCCCGTTCAGCTCGATTTCCAGACCGGAACCTGATTCTGGATTCGTTGAATATCAGTGGCAATGCGCATTAGCGCCTGCGTAAATTCGTCAGATAATTCGGCATTTGCAAAGGATGACTTTGAAGAGACCAGACCTCTCGTATGGTGACGGTGCTGCTGATGTACTTTTGTAAGTGCACTTGAGGTGCATCATGAGGCTTCATCTGGGGCCAAATATCACATCGGTGGAGGTATAAAGGGGATGGGAAATCCACGGCATACAGCCCCTCATGCCAGGCCGTTAAGTCACTTTGATATTCTCACTTAGAAATCCGAAAAGCATCGTTCATCATCATTATTTCACCATGACTATTGAAACGTATCAATTTGGCGCCTTCAAGTCGCAGAGGACGGATGTTCTTATTGTTGGCGCTGGTCCCGCTGGATGCATGGCCGCGGCAACGTTGCAAAGATACGGCATCGATTTTTGCCTGATTGACAAAAGGGCCACGAGAACACAAACTGGGCATGCAAGTGGTACGCCAATAAATTTCCCTCTTGTTGAGTTGACGAGAAAGCTGATCATACCACCAAGCATTCCAACCTCGAACCCAAGAAATCCTGCAGACGATGAATCTACTTCATGATCTTGACAAGAGAGGACATCGTCTTACCGAAACTTCTTTTTGGATGCGTGATAGCACGGGCGCCCTAGTCAGTAACTTCACCGGCGCTGAGGTGGTCCATGGTAAGTTCTTCCGCAGACGATGAGGCGATTATGTGAAATCCGACACAGCTGACTTTTCAAAAGCCACGCCGTACCAGTACCTTTTTAATACCGACCAAGGCATGACGGAAGATGTATTTGAACAGTACTTGAGCACCAAGGGGCACAAGGTCCAGCGATTCATGGAACTTGTTCATTATGAACACAGCCCAGAGTCCGAATGGCCACTCACAGCGTACATCAAAAACAATGCTAGCGGGGCCATCGAAGCATGGCAGACGAAGTACATCTTAGGTACCGATGGGGCGCGAAGCGCTACACGCCGAGCTACCGGTGTGCAATCATCCTCGCAAGGCGGCGAGGACGTTTGGGCTGTCGCGGACGTTTATGTTGATACGAACTTTCCCGATTACAGAAGACGTTGTGCCATCCGAACTCCAGATGGTGGTTGCATGTTGATCCCCCGCAAGGATGAGGGGCTCCGGATTTTCCTGCAGGTGGATGAGAAAAGTCAGGAGCACCTCAATGCAAACGGAGATTCAGCACAAGATGCCCTTACTGGAAGCAGTGCTTTCAAACTCACCCAGACCGTCCAGTCCCACATCAGCAAGGTCATTCATCCTTACAAGATGAATATCACCGACATTGTTTGGATTAGCCAGTACCGTGTTGCGCAGCGAGTTGTCCATAATTTCAGTGATCCGACCAAGCGAGTTTTCCTCCTTGGAGATGCATGTCACACACATAGTCCTAAGGCAGGACAAGGAATGAACGTCAGCATTTCAGACGCATACAACCTCACATGGAAGCTGGCACTGGTCATGAAAGGTGTTGCAAAGGCATCTTTGCTTGAGACGTACGAACAAGAAAGACTTTGGGTTGCCCAACAGCTTATTGAATTCGACGCCTTGTTTGCCCGTCAATTTGGACAAAAGGATAAATTTGACAGTCAGAACCTCCGTGAGACATGGGAAATGGGACATGGCTTCACAAGCGGGTGTGGGTATGAGTACCCTCCAAACTTACTTGTTAACCGCGATGTCCGGATTTCCATCAACAATGAAGCAGTGGAGCCGCTCACGCCGGGCAAGCGTCTCTTACCTATCGATCTGATCCGACACATCGACGGCAATCATGTTCGCATGCTCGACATCATGCCATCCAACGGCAGATTCCATCTCTTCATTTTTGCCGGCAATGACCTAGCTTCGCCTACCCTACAGAATCTTGGAAATGCTTTGGACTCACCTCATTCGCCAATGAGTCTCTTCAATCTTCTGCCACTGGAACTTATGCAACGTTTCCGTCATGAGGACATCACAACGGACTCAGTTCCATTCACCAACAAGGCATATGTTCTTGATCTTTTCCTGATTCATTCACAGAATCACCTGGATATTCAACTGGGAGATATCCCTGCTCCATTCTCCTCAAAATGGCCCATGAACGTATATTCTGACTTTTCTGGAGCTGCAAAAAGCCAGCTCGGTGTCTCTGGCGACTCCGGTGCTTTGGTGGTGGTGAGACCAGATGGCTATATTGGACTTGTCACTGGCTTGGACAATGTTGAAGATGTGACGTCTTATTTCGATGGCTTCATGCACCGGCGCATTTAGTGATGACGAGAAACCGCTGAAAGGGCAAAACGAGCACTGTAAGATGCCGGCAACGGCCAGCTAAATATCCTACAACACAGGTTCAATATCATAGCCTTCTATGGATTGATTGTTGCTTAGTATCGAATTTCAGTGTAAATAATTGTGTTCTCATGGCGTAACTCACAAAGCCCGGGCGTTTATCCGATCTCTGACAAATGGAGAAAAGGTTGTCTGCATTTGCTCGATATTTATGGATATAAGACCACCTGTCTCGAGAGAAGACGCACTATAGTCATTGAGAGAATGACATCTATCATACATCTTCAAAATGGCGCATCACGTTACACCGCTATCAGTACCCCTGTATATTGCCTTATCCGACAGTCTGAAGCTTATCCATGGAAGAGATAGCGGCACCATCCGTGAGTTCAGGCCTCTCCGGACGTCGGAGGTGCCCGACTGCAGCACAGACAGCAAGGAGGTGCCTGAGTGATATATCAACAACTGAGATCGCGTGTCTCGAACCATACCATCTCGTCTTGGAACAAGTATCTTTGTTAATAACTAAACCTTCAACATGTACGGCCTATCCGATGCACAATATGGCAAAGACAACGTTCGATTATACAAGGTCCACCGTGATGCAGGAACGGGTGTGCAAACTGTGTACGAACTGACAGTCTGCGTCTTGCTGGAGGGAGACATTGAATCTTCGTGAGACACTCGTCACGACATTTCACAATATAAAAAAATTTCAACTAACAATCAAGCAATAAGTTACACCAAGGAAGATAACAGCGTCCTTGTAACTACAGACGCAATCAAAAACACATGTTACATCGTTGCCAAACATAACCCCGTCCACCCTCCGGAACTATACGGCTCGATCCTCGGAAAACACTTTATCACCCAATACAACCACATCCACACAGCCCACATCGACATTATCTGCCATACCTGGGAACGAATGACCATCGAGAACGAGCCACACCCGCATTCATTCTTCCAGGATGGGAGCGTCAAACGACAGATCCGCGTGGATGTTTCCAAAGCTTCAGGCATCGATATCACGTCAGCTATATTTGGCCTCAGTGTATTGAAGAGTACCAGGTCTGAGTTCTGGGGATACATCAAAGATGAATACACGACATTGCCTGAGACGTGGGACCGCATTCTGAGCAGTGACGTGGATATCAAGTGGAAATGGAAGCACTTCGAAGATGTTGCGGACGTTAAAGCGAATGTCTCGCATTTCGTTGAGGCGTTTGTAAAGGCGAGAGACGCATCCTTCAAGGCGTTCGCGGAAGATAATAGCATGAGCGCGCAGGCGACACTGTACAAGATGGCTGAGAGGTTCTTGGACTGTGTTCCTGTGGCTGATGCTGTGGAGTATTCATGGCCTAATAAACACTATGTGGAGATAGGTAAGCTTCCGTAATGTTTCAGCGTCATGACTGCATACTGATTCCTTCTGGCATACTAACATTGACTGTTGATAGACTTGAGCTGGCACAAGGGCATTCGGAACACAGACAAAGACGCAGAGGTGTATTTGCCGCAATCGGCACCAAATGGCCTTATCAAGGGGACATTAACCCGTTATACTCTCGATAAGAGCAGATCTGCGAAGCTTTGATCAGCTTTAAGGAAGATATGTTACAGAACAGCCCTTAGCCCGCGCCGGTGTACCAGAAGCCTTCTTATACGACATAACACAGCACTATACTTTCAAAGCAGCCTCTCGGATGCATCAGATAAATATTGTTGCATACTTTAAAAAAGCACATACGACCATAGGGTGTGGAAAACAGGGCTTCCCGTCCGCTCAGCCGTACTTAAGCCACACGCCGGGAGGTTAGTAGTTGGGTGGGTGACCACCAGCGAATCCCTTCTGTTGTATGTTTTTTCGCTTTTTGTGTTTTATTTCTTTGTCTAGAATTGCTTGCTTCTCTCGGGTGGCTTTTTGATGTACGGAACATCTATGAGTCTACATTATGTATGGTGTGGGGCGAACTAGCTCACCAATGCGTCCTACCCGATGAGATAAACAGGCTTTGCCCGCATCGGGAACAATCTACTTCGGTTTCTTTAGTTTCGAGAATAAATCTTTGCAGTCTCTTGCAATTCAGTAGTCCCCTTCTAAGGGAACTCTTGGAGCAGTACTCAGTTTTGATCTAGAATTACATCCAGGAAGGCAGTGTCACGCCAAGAAGACATCCATCACACCTTGGGGCAACCGTAGTACGCGCATGTCCGTGAACGCAACGAAACAATGTGAGTCATGATCTTGATGTAATGATTGGGGTGTAGGGTTGAAGGCAGTTAGCACTAACTCCCCAGTAATATGAAATGCTATAATTTCGTCATTGGCCGGGTGCTGTGACCGGTAATTGCTACTAAGACGGAAAAAAAGCAGAGAATTTGCAAAGTTTTCCTATTTGGGGATATTCTTACTGATGTCTGGAATGGCTGGGTGTCTAAGTGGACCTCTCTTTGGCTTTGGAGAGTATGTAACGAACGCAAGTGGAGGAACTCGGGGAAACACTGTTATGATACCGCATGCAGACTGTACTGTTGCAGCATCTGTCCTGGGTAGGCAATAGATGAACCGATGCTTTGATTGTTAGTATTACGTCCGGAATATCCAGTTTAGTGCATTTAGTGGTCAAAAAGTCTGTAGAAACGGAAAATGGGCAGGCATGTCCCTTTTCCCCAGAGTATGATAGCATATAATCATATAGCATCATCAGTCCCTCATTTTCCTGTTTATTATACGATATCCTCACATGTGATTCTGTTTGCGGCAAACGCACAAATGCCCTTGGCCATCGCAAACTGTAGCGGCACATTCGTCGCAAGTACCAGGCATTCTCTGAGATCTCCTGACCATGTTCTTCCGAAGGATAGTCGAATGCTATGACATAGCTGATGCTACATACTTGGAGTCATGATATCAAATGCTAGATGGTAGTATTCATGTTCGCAAAAACCTTGAGGGTTTGCTATACCTTTTCGGTCACTATGTGAATAGGAATGTGCAGTCAACCTATTGCGAGATAGGCTGGGCAATGTCCTGGCCACTGACGGAAGCGTAGCCTGCAGCTCCCTAGCCGAATATAGTAGGCCCAAATGAGGGAGAACATAAATTCAGTGACATGCTTCCACCGATCAGGCATCCATCGTCTTCATGTTGCTGGCATTACCAGCACCGATAACCCTGTCTCTCAAGAAAGGGATGTCTAGGTGATGAAATAGTGAAAAACTCCTTGAAACCTACGCTCCTCTGTATTACAGCTAATAGAAGTCCTGTTTCTGTTGAGTTTACCTGGCTTCTACCTTGCCTAGACATTCGCCTTTGAGGGCAGGAATTCCATATACGTGTAATAAAACGGCGGTTCATTAATACAAAGCTCGTTATTTTCAAACGTGAAAAATTACCACGGTACTCGGATCGGTAACCGACCGGAATTTGACGCTAAGAAATGATCAAACCTTATCGTCGAGGAGACAGGCGGGGCCCCAAACCCCCCAAGAACCCCCTTGCGTTGCCAGTTACGGACTAGGTAAGTGATAGACAAGTCATATCAATCAGAATTCGCACTAACCACTGCTTACTTAGGGTTCATTCCAACTACTTCGAATCTCGTGCCTGGCATGATGGCGCCCTTGGCTTCTTCTTTTTCTTGGTGGCTTGGAGGGGTTGGTGGCAATGCCTGCCATGATTCGAAGGGTTTGAGGGCTTTGTTATCTGTGCAATGGATACAGCAAGGCTTTCCAGTTTCATTCCCCTGTGAGTGAGCCTTTGTTGAATTTTTTTTTTTTTTTTTTTTTTTTTTTTTTTTTTTTTTTTTTTTTTTTTTTTTTTTTTT